TGCCCATATGGTAGTGTCATCAGCAAATAAAACCACTTTCACTAAATCAGAAACATTGCATATATCGTTAATGGTACTTGATAGCAAATTTCAGCTCCTTCTTTGAATGTTCGGCCCACATCTTTACTGTTGTATTTCACTCTCATTACACATCATTTTCAGCCACAGCAGGCATTTGCTTTTGGTGAAAACGGCTTTAAAAAGATAGTGTGCACTATCTACTGAGTAGCAGGCAAAGTTAACTGGTGAACATAGTGGAGCTTTTAGCGGCTACAGCACACATGACTGCAAATCAGTGATAATGTTGTAATGATGATTGTGTTGTGCCAGACGTTAAGTGGAAGGAGAGTCACAGCTAGTCACGTAGGACGTTTGGGAAGGCACTGAAAAAAACAAGGATTTAGAAATAAGCTTTAAGACACTTTAACCTGAACCAAGTATATCCTCAGGCTACAACGGCAGCGGTGCAAAGGCCATTACCTGTGATACACAAGCATTTAGCCAGAGAGCTCACAGTGTACCCAGACCAAGCAGCACTGATTAGGTTGAGTCAGCTAATGTAGAGTGTATGGCCCTGACAGGGAAGAAAGACAACTGCACAGGGATTACCTAACCTCTCCACGTTCATTGTGCTGCAGGATTTAATTGTGCCCTTTGTTGCCAGGAAAAAATGAAGGGTTGCCTGCAAAGCCTCGGGGAACCCGCTTTCACTCACCTACTCATCCACTTCTACTGTGATGTCAGCCCACGTCCGCTCTTCAATCAGTCCAATTGAAGGAGCAAGGACAACCGGAAACAAAAGGCGTATAAAGAAATTGTTGAGCAAAGCAACTTTTCTGGAAGCTGAATGCATCAATTGATCAAACCAGTAGTTCCTCCAGCACTATTTTTGCCTTTTTTTGTTCTCAATAACACAGACACACCACCTCGATGCATCACTGGTCATCCTTGTCTATTTAGCATTTAACCCTGTGTAACAATAATATTTACAAATACTGTTACAAGAGAAATAAGGATGTGAGAGAGGCTGTCTTTTATGTAGGTATGTATCATAACCCATTAGTGAATCAAGCCAATTCAGGAAATTAAAATCAGAAAAGACAGAAAACCGAAAATTTGCAGCATTATCGAAGCTGACTTTCTATGAAAAGTATTCTTGTTCAGCTATGGTTTTAAATGAGGTTTATTCTGAATTAATTAAATTATGCATTGCATATTGAGTAAGCAGTGCATGAACAATTTTAATTAGTGTTTGGTCTACTTATTACAAAGGCTTTTATATAAGAACTGACAAAACTGATCTTGGATGTGTCAAGAAGCTGCAAGGAAGTGCATCACTGGCAATCCTGATAAACCAGGAGTGGCACTGACCTGTATGAGTGAGTTTCAAATGAAAGCTCACATCTCACACCTAGCCTGCTCCACCACCTGTGGGACAGAATGGAGGCTAAGGCCAGTTGAGGACACTTAGCTCTCAGGGCCAAATTTTACTTCAAACTACAGGTCTGTTGATATAATTTGCATAAGCCCTGTTGCCTCATGCTACCTGACGTGGGGGAGTCCTTTTTCATCTCAGGCCGTCCTTATGAAGCCTACTTACTTTCATTTACTCATCGCTGGCTCAGCTGTGATGGAGAAAAAGCTAATCTTCAACTCAACATGCTCCTCATAGTTCACCTCCATCTGGGTTCACTGGCAGATCAATCTTCTCTTTAGGTGATGCCATTATGCCACCCTCATTTAACTATTGCTGCCAAAGAAAAAACGACAAATTAATCAGACGAGCTCGCTGATACCTTGCTTTCACCCCCACCTCACAAACAGAGCAGCCTGGAACAACAAGACCAGCAACAAGCAATAACTGTGTTAGCTAATGATAAATCTGTTATAAGAAACCTTTGGAAGTGACTTTCCTGCAATACACACGCTACACACAAAAAAGCTTCTAAGTTAAGTTGTATAGTGGAACAGATAAAATGTCAAACAACTGGCTAATCCACTTTTTCAGGGAGAAAATGATTCGTTTGGTTAGCCAATACCAAAATTGTTTTTCAAAGTGAGCTAAACCACAATTGGCCATAAGTGAATAATTAGTTCAACATCACCTAATCTAAAGGAGAACCTACAATAGCTCGGTACCATTTATCCATTTGTCCCCTCTTGGAGCTACAGACGTGATGCCTACAGAGTCAGCCTCGCGCCCAGGAAGCACAGACCTTGGCAGAAATTTGAAGCGGCAAGGTCCAGCTGATCCAAAAGTCACACTCAAAACTATATGTCCGAAAATGACCAGAAGGTTTTAGCAACACCTATCTAAAACATTTCCAGAAAATGACACTGGGCTGTTGCATTACACTGCATTAAAATGGATGAATCTGTAACAATAGCAAAAAGTGTGAAGTACTTGCAATAAACATGCTCAGTAGTTTTCCCTTGATACTTGTAATCAGAATGTGCCTTGTATTTCTATAGCTGACTAGACAGCTAAAAGACCATTGTGCTCTGAAGAACCATTAAGCTCTCTGCATGCTCCAACATGGAGGCTGCACTGCTTTGTTTCTACATGAAGGATTTACCAGCTGTTAAATTTGCTGTGCTTTGTGGTGCCAATCACAAATCACCTCCACAATGCAGACGGCACACATTGTGCTCCAGAACAAACATGCTGAGCAGCTGATCGGATGGCACACTCCAGCTTAACCACACCTTGTCCTATAAGTGAACTTCCAGTGTAGTGTATGACATCACTGTGCGATCAACAAAAATTGAAAGGGAGACAAATGTGGACAAGCTTCTCTGCAGCCTTGCTGTGACTTTATATTGGAGGAGGTAGTGAGAATACAGAAGGCAACTCTATCATCTTCTCGTAACAGCCCCATGTTTCTTTCCTACCTGTTTTTTTTGTGGTCATGGCCTGTATGTGTTGGAGAGGGAACACCCCCTCAACATCTTAGTCTCAGGTCAATGCCACACTAGGTGTCTGTAATGTTTTCCGGTATTACACTGACTTGCTTGTTTGTTTTTTCAGAGTGGTGACTCAGTGAAGAGCAGTAGGAAACAGCTGAAATCCTGTAAAAGTGAATAGAAGCATTGAAGGAGAAATATGAATTGCTGGGGCATTCCTACCAATGGATCCATTGTATTGGATGTATATGTGTGTTTAAAATCACATCACTTTGAGTTATGCCCTTTTAAAAATATATCTAAAGTTTAATTCACTGGATTTTTATGACATTAACCATTGCAAGCAAACTAATACCCAGTATCAAGCCTATGGAAAATGACATGTATACATGCAGTAAGTTCGTTAATGTCGCATGGTAATTTAACACTAGAGATAAAGTCTTTGTTCTTTGGAACTTGAGGGCTTACAAAACCATCCCCCAGTTTTCTTCATTATGCAGTGTGTTCATGGCTCTGGACTAGTTTGGCCGTCTTAGTGCCTGATCTCTTTCACTGCTGGGTTCAGTGTTTTTAAACAGACATTATGACCTGGACTAGGATGAAAAAATGACCAAATTGAACTAACTTTAGGCAGCATGGTGGCGCAGCGTGTATGGTTGTCTTTCTCTATGTGTGAGCCCTGTGACAGACTTTCCCAATGTCAGCTGGCTTGGCTCCAGCTCCCCCCAGATCATCTTCAGGGTAATCGGTATAGATAATGGATGGAGTTGACTTAATCTTAACTTAGGTTTGGCAGACACTGATTTCTTCCCAACATTTTCGAAGGTGTTGTTTGGTCTCTGTGGGAGTGCGCATGTAGCAGCCTTAGGTTGTTCATCTGTCTCAGCATCCTCTGGGGACAAGAGGAACAATCTGCCGCAGGCCCTGCCAGATGCTCATTGTCGCTCTGAAACAATAACCAGTGGAGTGTGTTCACCCTTGAACAGCACTATGATCTGTAACGCTTCCCGAGGGGCTGTTTGGACAGAGGTCAGCTGAGACTACAATATGCAAAGTGTCCTGAGACTCAGAGTGATAATCTGTGAAATTATTTCTCTCTGCATGTCATTGCTGGTGTTCATTACTCTGGTAGTGTTGCACTACTTAATAACAGAGATTATTATTCTATGTTTGGTTATGTAAGATGCTAAAATTAATGTCATACTGCACATCATAATTTTATAAAGTCTCTTTTTTCCTATTTGATTGCACAAATATTCCATGTTTTTAACATTATGGCGTGTGTGTAGTCATTTCCTGGGTATTCATGTACATATTCATAGGCAGTATTTGGTGGAGCCCACCACCAACAACACTTTTTTTTTAATGCCGCTGGGCAAAAGCATCCGGTGTAGTACTTTTTATGTGATGATCTTAAGGATTAATAACTGCAGTGGCTGCACAGGCAGCATACGTGCCACAGTGTTTTGTTTGTCGTTAGAAAAGGACCAAATGCCTTTAACATGTATTTTTTTCCAGTGCTTTACTGGAAAGAAGAGCAAACCTGTCACTCTGCAATGGAAATCATGTGTTCTGACATCATTTGTTTTGGGTCTATGTGTGTATCCTCGGACATCCTTGACAAATTCTGGTAAAACTCAGTGTAATAATAAACATTTTAAAAGTGTGCATGTTGTGGGTCTTTGAGGTGTGTGCTGCAGATATGTGACCTGTAATGAGAGAAGACCAGGGTCATCTGGCTGAGCTGAAACAGATTTCACATCCATGAATGAACCACAATGCTCTCTCCAACAAAAGCACATCCAGTAGTTAAATGACTGTGACTTGTGGGTGGTCCTCTACCAGCAGAGCATGTCCTGCAGAAATCGTTAGTAATGATTAACTTGACGCTGAATAGTTTTGTTTTTTCTGCCTTACCCCAGGGTTGAGAGACACCAAGCCTAGACAACAACAGGACTGATATTTGACTCTTGTCAACATCACACATGTACAGTCCGAATGTACCTGCTTTGGTAATGTCAATATCAGGGAGCGGCAGGCACATGTTTGCTATAATAATAAGCTGTAACAGTCAAGTCCAATGGGCATCTGGTTAAAGGACCTGAGGGTACAGTATAAAGACATATACATAGATTATGTTAAATAATGCTTAGATTCAAGTGTTTTTACACTTTAGAAATATCAATAAAGCATGATTAGTATATTATAGTGAACCCATATTATTATAGTTAGGTCATATGTACAATAAGTGTTTCATGACTGTTAATTAAATGATAAAGTTTTTTTTAATCCAGGTATTACAGCCAGAAACATTATTATTTTTTGTTGGTGTTGTTATATAGCATCATATCTTGATTGCAAAATAACAATTTAAGAAAATAGTGAAAAGGACAATATTCCCTCAAGCCCACTTTAATATATCAAAAACTCGATTTACTGCCATAAAAAACAATGAACCTATCAAGTATTCACATTTGAAACCTGGTCACTGTGAAGGCTACAGCATGTGATTCGCCTCATGTCCATACTCAAACCACTCAGTGACCCCTTATGTTCTGTGGATGGGGGCTCTGTCATCCTGGAAGACACCTCATTGTTTCAGGGTTTTCTTTTCATTTGTCACCTCCATGTTAAAGAACTCCACAACAAGTGAACAGACTCACAGCTCTGACATTTTACAAGCATATTCAATTACTGTTATAGCAAATGTTAGGCAGACTTGGAGAACCATCAACATTCATTACTCACATGTTAGGTCTTTACCAACTTCTAAGAAAGATATCTGGGCTGTTGATAGGTAGTGATTATTAGCTATTTGCTATTTTTTCCTGTTCCTTGCTGTGCAGATAGGTTGATCTGAGCATGTGGGCTGAAAGCAGCTTCCTACCTCAGCTTGAGACCTGAGCCATGTGGTGCAAAACTAGAACAGTGAACAAGTCAAACATGCTCCCTACACCACAGCTATAGTGTTGGTTTATCATTATGAGGGATCTGTTACATAAAGTCTTTAATTTAGATTCAGTGTTGAAAACATACCAGTAAATTGATCTTGTATCGTCACCGTCATGTGAGACTGGTGCAGCATCTAATTAAGAAAAGTCAGGTCACTGTAACATAGACGATTGAATTTGTTTTGTTGTTTTTCCTACACTGCCTCTGTTGTTTGTCTCAGCACAAACAAGAGGAGCAATCAACTGTCCTTCTCGTGCTCGCCATGATCCATAGTCATGGCTGTGCTGCACCATGAGTATTGTGCTTACTATTGATTAAGAGACCAGAGAGATACACAGAGATGGAGGCAGAGTGACAGAGACTAAAGCAGGAGAACAGAAAGAGACAAACAAAGGGGGAAACAACAGAGACTAAGCAATACTGATATGATTACCATAGCATTCCCATTAGTTGATGGCAATTAAAACCTGACAAATTCAGTGTTTTTTTCTTTTAATGTTGGCTGAGTTTTAACAGCAAGCAGATAGAGTAGGCTGCCCTGTTGCTGTTTGTAAAGTAGTTCATGCTTTTGCCTTTCAGATGCAGCAACCTTGATTATATAAATTAGAGTTTTTACATCTGCAGAGGAGCAGGAGCACTGATGACTGATTTCACCACTGGCTCCTACACACTATTTACACACCCTCTGATGTCCAGGTATATTGTTATAATTTACACTGTCATAACCACAGATAATGTGTCTCATCATCATGTGCTGACTTCATGTTTGGCTTGTCATCGCTTCCACAGTAAGATGTGTACCAACTCTGTCTGCTGTGTATTGTCCCAGATAGCCTTGCGTTGTGTCTACCAAACAGGAAGCTGTCCCACATTCACCCTACTCTTCATTCCCTGAGTGACTAACACTTAACAACTACAGCAAAGTTAATAGATATGTGATGTCACGAAGAGAGACTCCATCCCATCAGTGCCCCAGATACTGGAAACAAGGCCTGGTTTCTTCGCGAGATGCTGCTTAGGCCGAGAAAATGGCTTCTCTGCACAACTACAGTCAAAACGATTGTGTGACCCACTGCAATATCTGACCAAGGATGTGACAAGATGCATGTTTTAGATGTTTTCTGGCATTTGCAAAGAAATGAGCTTTCTTTGTTGTTCATCAGCCACAGTCATCATTTTGTTTCATTACTTGCTACAGACACTACAAATTTATTAAGCTGTTCTCCAGAATTGCTTTTTAAAATGGAGTAATGAATCACTACAGGTTCAAGACTGAGTTTTCATTTATTAAAGATTTTTCTGTCCGGTCTCATCACTGTTATAAAATGGCCATGGAATCGAGGTTAATCCATCCGTCTGAGCTGTGGATGACTGCATAGCTCTAATAGCCTTGTGGTATTATGAGAATGAAGTCACACAGTGCACAAAACATAAATGTAGGTTCACTTTAATCACAAAATATGGGGGAGCACAACATTCACATGGAACAAGGTAGGATATCATATAGGGTGAAATGTTTAGCAGCCAGTTTTGCTGCATTTCCAACAGTTTGCCTTATAGAGTACACATGCACTAAAAGAAAATATATGACTTAGTTAAAAGAAGTGCAAATGCCAAGGGCACACAGTTCAAACACATTTGTCATGTGAGCAACATATTCTACATTTCACCAAGTTGCAGTCATTTTTATAACATACTGCGCAAGTTAAGGAATATCTAAATAGTTATTCTGAGAATTGCATCATGCTGAAAAAAGAAATTTGCACAAATTCTGTGGGGGGTTGGCTCTCATTTTCAATTCACTACAAGTACGACTGGGAGACCAATATATAATACTAAATACTTCTGCTGCAACTTGCATTTTAGTAAGGTCATTCAACCGTTTAGTCATCACTTTTGTCAAAACGTTATAAAGTTAATGTTGATCAGCAATTAAAAAAGTTCAGTGGCATGGCTTAAAACAAAAGAAATACAATTGATAACTTCCACAGAACCCTGCTCTAGAATGGCTGCTCCATGCCCTACACTATATATATATACACATATATAACTTGCTGAACATTATTTCACTTCCTGAGTGAATTGAAAGCAAGATTTAACCCAACCCTCCCTTATACTCCACAGTTAATGACACAGAATACCTGCAAGAGTTTGCAGCAACATATCTATGTGCAATCTAGTTTGGCACAATTTAAATGTCAAGTGTTCACCCACTCCATTGTTCATAAACACAGACTCGAGTCACCTTCATATGACCGTGTCTATCTCACATACAACTTATGATAAGTGGAGGTAGCGCTAGGTGATAAAACCACTGTGATTTCCTCAGTGTATTTTCTTCTTGATGAGTAAGCATAATCAGGTCAGTACTTGTCTTGTCAGTTATTTTGCTATAACCTAAATAAACTACAACCAAAGGACCCATCAAATACTGTAGACAAAACTTTAAAAATTACTCATTTCTATGGTACAGAAGTTGCTGTTATTGCTTTATAATCAAAAACTCTTGCATTGTTTTATACATAATTAGTGTTAAACAGTGAAAGCATACCTCATATTATGGTCTTTTGTATATGTATTTTCATACCTATAAAGAATTAAAACTAGCTTATTCTCATTCAGTCTCCCCCTTTTCTTGTTTACAGTGCTGCCCACTGAGACGCGTCTTATCTAGAAGGATTGCATGCATGGAGCTGGTGTAGACAAAAGGAAACAGTCAAGCTTGTCGCCCCATCTTTGCAATTTCACAGTATTCAGCGTTAATGACTGATTTACAGTATACACGTAGGTCTAGTTTTGTGTCCACTGTGATCACCACCAGATTCAGTCAAACAGACCTCCGTTGGCTTTGTGCATGTGCCCTTTTGACTATGTCCTGGTACATCTTGGACCTGAGGAATCGTGGGTAGGAGTCTTTCTCCATGAGACTGTAAACTTTAGCCTGGATATCATTAAGGCTGGTTGGGGATGGATCCTCCAGATTCTGCTTTGTCTTTTCCCTGGTGCGGCAGTCAATGTTTACCTATCAGGATAAGAAGAGCAAACAACAAGAGCCACTCACATTGGGTTTTATCTTGATCATCACACATAGCAACAGTGTGTGTGAGTGTAACTAACAACCACTGCAGAACCAGCTCTATAGGTTCTGCAAGCATAAATGAAAAATTCCAAACACTGTGGGATATGTTCTATTTGCTCTACACTAATGTGGTCTCTTTATAAACGTACAGTAGCCAACAATGACCCTTAATGCGAGGTGGTGCATGCTGCCCTAGTTCAGGCCGCTGACTGCGTACTTGAAGCTTATATTATACACACAAAAAAGCAGCATATTTATTGATTAAAAAATGAATGTGCTTCATTTGTGAAGACAATGACAATTTTGTGGTTTAATGCAGAGAACTAGAACAGAAAATGAGGCTAAAAAACAAGCTGGAGGAGGCAGGGCCATCAAGTAAGAAGGGAATTCACATGCATCTTATACAGTAAAGGCAAATGCTCAAGGAAAAGAACGCATGGTAACAAAGATCAACTTTATCTTTGTGAAAAAGAAATGGCAAGATTTATGGCAAACACTCTTAAATAGTGGTCTGACCTTGATCTCCAGCATGGTCAAAAATATATACACTAAAATATCACAGTTACTTTATATTTTCATGTTAAAAATGGCTTCTCCCTAGAATCATTATGTAAAGGGAAACACACACACACACAGAGTCATGTTTCCATCACTTAAAGTGAAATATATTGACTTACCCTAACTTCAATGGCAACCACTACCTGCCTAACCTTAACCTCCTACCAAGTTGTCACTCTGAAATTCAGTCTGCGGACTTCCCCAAATGGAAGTCAAGTCCACACAATGTGTGTGTGCAAACAGACATACCGTACATTTTCACAACATGAGTAACAGCATGCCACACCCACGCACCTCTCTTGGTGCCTGAACATCAATGAACTCCTTAAAGATTTTGTTTGCTTTTGACACAAGTTTGGTAGAGCTCTTGACTTTTTTGTACTCCTCACAGGCCATCCAAAATTCGATATTCTCGTCACTGAACTCCGTCTTGAGAAATGTCCTAAAAGCAGCCAGGCCATCTGAAAAGAACAAATTTATCACACAGTAAGGGAGGAGGTAAAAATAAACCTACAAAAACATTCAATAAACATGACTGACATGGCAGAACAGAACCTATTTCTGGACAGCAGCTGAGAATTCTTTTATGGATATGTTATGTTTTCAGAGTACCTTGATCGTGTATATGTGATAATGTCCTTCATCCTGTGCTGATATTTTTTCAGTACATACACACTCTTGTTCCCAGAAGTGGGAAATGACTCTCATGATTAGAACACAAACAAATCAGAACAAAATCCTCCCACAAAAGGGATTTTTCTCCATCTTCAGCAGTCACGATAAGTGATCAATTAATGTACTCCCCATGGATGATAACACAGGAAGGGCATGTTTTTCTGTCGGCCCATGTCATGTTGACATTATTTCTACCCTTCTCATTTTTTATGTTTACCTAATAAAGCCGGACAGCACAGAGGGGACGCTCTGCCTGTGAATATGCAACAACATTACTCACACAGAAACACACGAGTGTACGCAAAACAACATGCAGGTTTGAGTGGGCACAAGGCCATATTAACAAACACACTGGGCTGCTTTTTGAAGAAGAATCCCTAATAAACACAAGTGGAAAGCAGAACCCAACAGGGGAGCTCAGGCTTTCACAGTGCCCCTTCCTGAAAACTTTGTGAAAATGTATGATAGGATTTTCTACCTAGTGAGAACATTTGTGAAAAGCTCGCAGACTCAGCAGAGCTCATCTACCTCCATGGCTAACAGAAAATTCCAGTACTTTCTAAAATAACAATTAATGCATCTAGATCAATCACAGTAAAGATCAGCACTATTGCTCAAGCCCAACAGCAAATGCATTTTGAAGGAAACACAACAAAACATAATGGAGTTAACATTAATCTACATTTTTGTCAAGTCACGTTCAGTTACACTTAACCGAGAACATCTAACCAACATGCTGTTGCTGCCTAAATCTAACCACACACTGGAGTCTGGGTGCGAATCCCAGTTTCTGGTGTCAGTGCTTGGTACCACAAACTACAAACCTAACAGAGACCGAGTCATAAAAACTGTAAGCTAAGCTAGTGGTCAATATCTCCATGGGGTGTTCTGTTGGGTTTATAAGGTGCTGTTAAAACCAGCGAGATTATTGGCTTTATCAGAGCAGGAGTAGTGCTAAGACAGTTTTAATTACAGTTCAGGAGAGGAGGCTAAAAGTCTCCCGCTTGGTAGATGGCTGAGGATATTTCACTGAGGCAGCTTGGAAGGATAAATGAAGGAGGCTGAGGAGCACATAAATAAGACAGGCAGGCTGAAGGGGATGTGAATTGAGGGAAAACACTGATTTGTGGCAAGGTTAACAAGAACTTACAAGAAAACTAGCTGAGAAATGGAAAGCCAGCGCAGCAAGGGAACTCACTGAACTGAGACGCAAACAGAGACTGTCCAGAGACCTGATCTTAAATACATCAGAGCAATTAGGAGCAGCTGGGAGTAATAAGGACAATGCAGGGCAGCTGGGGCCGAGCCAATTACTGGAGACTCAAGAGAGTCAGTGCAACCAGCCTTAATATCATTTTATCATTAAGATTAAACCAAAAACACTGACATTTTGTTTACATGTCACTAAAATACAAAATGTTACTCTGGTATAATGTGCCTGAAAAGCACAGCACTGCTGCTTGTCAATCTCATCCCTCCTTTCAATCAAAGTAAAATCAGTGTGAATACAGCATCCTATCAAGGGAACATTCAGTCGTGTATTATGTGTGTATGTGTAGTAGTAGTCTAGCTGAACTAGGACACACCATTCATGACATAAGATACTGGCAGTTTTTTGGTCTTGTCAGCTTAAGCTGGAAAAGACCAGAAGATTATTAAAACCTTCAAATTCTTTAAAATAGCATAATACCAGTTCTTTTCTGTCTTGACAGAACAAAAGAGACTGTGAGTTGTGTCCCTGTACTGCACCAATGTTTGTGGAGAGTCATTTGAGCGACAGGGCCTGTGTAGTCCGCACAGTGAACCTCAGTCCTTGGATGAAGTGGATTATTAACTTAATTTTCTTGTTGACTATTATTTATGATAATCAGTTTATCATTTATGGCATTTGTCAAACAAAAACAAACATTTAGTGTTAACATTTGTGTCTTCTCTCCATTTCATCAGACAAAGCAACAAACTGGACTCCAGTTTTACTCTGCACTTCACCTGTTTCTGATCTTTTATAGGCAAAATATTTATGGCAACTTACTGACAAAATAACTGTCAGAGTAACTGATAATGTAAATCATATGTACAGTCCTAGCAGAACATGTTTCCTTAAAAAAATATTTACTTGTTTACTTTGACTATCCTTCCTCCAGTGTGTTTTATGCCACAGCTGCTACGTCACGTCTCGTTAGCAGTTAGAAAGTGACCTATTTGTGCATATCAATGTGCATGAGTGAGTCTGTGCCTGTGTGTTTGGTCTGCTGGGAAGGTTACAGACAAGTATGTGACTCATTATGCTGTAAGGAGTCCTCACAATGTAGAAATGAACCCCTTACATAAGATGGGCTTAAAGAGAGAAAACAGACTTTGCTTGTGCTGAGAGAAAAATAGAAGCTATTCAAGAAACATGAAGGGGCTATTATAGTGGTGTTTTATGTTAGCTTTATTTTCTTGATGCTGGCTGTACTGTTCCTCAGCAGCACTGTTCGCCCTGAATAATAGAAAATGTTCACTTACATTTGTGAGACAGAAGGCGATCAAACGATTCAGACCATCGAACGACTTCATCTGTCGACAGTCTGATGGAGAGAAAGCCAAAGGAAGCTGCATGAGACTCTGTAAGATGGGACTGTGTTTTACTGAAGAGCTGCTGAATTTAATACATGTAGAAGTAAAGTGGAAACACATTTTTTTTAAACAATTTTAAACATAACACTTTAATTTGCCATCAATATATTGTATATTGCTTGACTTGGATCTGCAAATTTCCATTGCACAAATGGTTGTGTTTAAAAGATGATATTGGTTATGACATTGGGCACCTCCGCTGGCATACATTGCAGTAACATGTTAACAGTCAAGGTTGTTTCCAGCTAGAATTAAAAACAACTCTTGATTTGTTTAAGAAAGCAAAATCAGAGTGAAACTGTTTCATGCAAATGTTTGGGTTCCTGCTAATCTATGCCGCTGACCGACAGGAGTGCAATAAATTATGTTCAAATACTGCTAAGATACTAAAAATATCTTAAAGAAAACAGATTTTAGAAAGAACATTTTGAAATTAATTTCATAACATGTTCTAAATTTGAAAGATAGGTGTTACATTTACAGGGCTAGTTCACACAACAGAAGCTTGAGTTGTAATGTGTTAAAAGCAGACTCACTTCAGACACCTGGCTGTGGTTTCGTGGGCAGGAGGAAGGAACTCAGAAAAATCACTGTAGGAGTCGGATTTTTTGGACAGGCAGCCTAGTCTGGTCTTCATGGTGCAAATCCTGCTGATAAAACAGACAATACTCAATACTTTGGCAAATAAAGTGTTATCTCACATTCCACTGCTGTTATCTGCTCTTATTGCACGTATATATTATTTATTAAATGTCCTACTTGAACCTTCCCTTGTCTCGTGTGTCTGCACATTGGCTCCTACCTAGCCAGTAATCGTAACAATATCTGGGTTCAGTAGGGGCAACCTGTAGCTACCAACATGCCAGAAAATGTAAGTCATTGATGTGTGTTAGGCAACCCCTAGGCAGCCACAATAATTATGACAGGAAGAACACTGACTGTTGGAACTAATGTATAATGAACGTCCATAGGTAGGAGGTCAGGTCGGATGGATTGGTGACAAAACCCAGGACTTTGAAACAGGACACAGCTGTTTGTTTCCCATTTGAAACTGGTGGTTGGTAACTTTAGTATTTTAAACCAAACCATGATCTTTAATTAAACATAACCAAGAACAAAAGGTGAACTACTTCTAACCCACATCTATGGTCCCAATAACAACAGATAACATCAAAAGTGGGTGCCATTTTGTCTTCTGCCTATACTTATTTGCATAAAGATCACACCTCATGACAAAGAAAATGTACCGTGCATGCGGTGCATGCAGATTATGACTCACATATGGGTACATGTTTTGAATTTTAAACACCGAAACAAAAACTAGTTCTGCCATTTCACTGAGAAGCAAGGTTGTGCCCCCGCAGGTTGTATGAGTATAAACCTGTTTGAAGGAAGGGGAAGTGAAAATATGGTTGTGGAAATGCCACACAAACCAAACG